AATAGTCATTTACGAAATGTTTTGGGATTTGCTTACTGATATTACCCGCACTTTTGTTGTTTTGTATGAATTGCTCAGGCGTTTGTTTTCTATGTAGTGTTTGTAGATTGTTGTTTGTCATTGTATTGAATTGTTTAACATACTGGATCCAGTTGTTCATTTCTCAGTTAAATATAACCCAGGGTTAATTTTTTTTTATTGGGGGTTACGTAACCTAGGGTAAAATTCTGTTGTTCAAATTCTTTTTAACCCTTGCTTACGTTACCCATGGTTAAATTTTCAGTGAATGTTCATTTTTATCAACAACAACAACAAAATTCTTAATGCTTTTCTTCTGTCCCAGAAAAAACTGTTTGGTCAATAAATATAAAAATTAAATAAACAATACGATTTTCAGCGTCTAAAATCATGAAATAGTACAACAACAACACGGACGACAGAAAGCACCTTTTTTGGAACAGAAGCGTTATACTCGTTGAATTGTTTTTCATTATAGAAAAAATACATTAAATGTCTTACTAAAAGATGTTTTATTTTGCTATATCAGTTTGTGTATTGATCTGCTTACCCTTCCCGAGCACCTGCCATCACCCCCAGTTTTATATGGGGTGCCTGTTGCTCAGTCTCTAGTTTTGTGTTTTGTGTATTTTTGTTTGTCTGTTTGTCTTTTTCTTTCTTAGTCATAGCATTAACCGTTAATTTTCGACTTCGTAGTTTGAATGTCCCTTTGGTATCCTTTGCCTCTCTTTTACAAAGAAGATGACAGGGTAAAAAAAATGTTGATATGAAAATGTGTGTTATGTAGACACTGTATGAACGGAAACCTCGATGCAAAAAGGGGGGGGGGGGGGGTGGCGGTAAAACGTAACAATAAGTTTTTGAATACTTATGGTCGAAGAAAACGGAAAATATGTTGTATCAAACTTTTGTTGACCATTTCGGTCAAGTTATAAACATGAAATCGTACTTTTAGATAAAATTATTCATGGTTAAATTTTTAACCTAGGTCCAATGCAGGGTTAAATCTGAATAATTTAACCAAGGATTTAACAAAAGATTAAATTTAACCACAGGATGAACAACAGAAAATAACCTAGGTTTAAATTGTAACCAAGGATTGTGATATTTAACCCTTGGTTAAAATTCAACCAAGAGATGAACAACCGGGGTCCTGTTATCAGTTTATTTAGACTTACAGGTTTTAATAGTCTCTTTGATGTCTTTTGCCTCTTCTTCAACATGAACAATGAACCCTCCTACTAATCATGTTGAAAAGGCTTGTCTTATCAGTTCATGACAAATATTTCAAAAAAAGAAAAAAAGAAAAATTTGCACAGTACCGGTCTTCCTTACCTAAAACTAATTCAATCATAAAAACGAATAAACACCATTTTTCCCAAGACAAAAGATCAACATATTGCTTCCAACGAATTTGAGGTAAAGACGTTACACCCAGCATAATAAAAGCATTACAACGACATTGCCAACTTATCAGTATCGATGTAGAACCAACAGGGTGTATACCTGGATAGAAATACATACTAGATATTGTATACAAACATTTAAAAGTAAAATTAATGTTGTATTATGAAGACAATACTCAACGATCTTACATACGAATTGAGTTGTGTTTCATTATATGAATGCCTTTGTTAAAATCGTTAAACATGAATATATTGATTGTTATTCTTGATTGTTCATTGATAATCTTTTTTTTTTGTGTTTCTTCTTAAATTTCACATACGTTTTTTTTATTAATAAACATAAAACCATAAAAAAGACAAGAGGAATCTTCATTGATTGAGATTAAAGTTAGAAGATTAACGGCTAGTTAATCCCATCACATAGACATGTGCTTGTCCATACCCATGAACATAATTTTTATCACATAATTTCTTATTTGTTTGTTATTTGGAGAATTAATTAAGTATAGATCCTGTGTTGGGGTCGACTGGGAAAGAGGACCGGAAAGTTATTTGGAATGCCACTGGCAAATGAGAGTAAATTAGATAGGGACATAAATTTAGCCTTGCAACAAGCCATATATTTACCTATCATGGAGTTGTAGCACTTTTTTTAGCGTGCAGTGAACGTGGTATTTTCTACATGAAGCATGGAATCTTACGTCACCATTCTAAAATGCAAGACCTTTGGCAAGGGTTTTGCGTCCTGTCGGAAAAAAAAAAGGATTTTCTTATTCCCTGTCACCCTTTGGGGGTTTAACAGTAGATGACTCGTTCGTATTTGTTTAATACATATTAATGACGGAATAGCAATTCACCAATAAATATGCTTTCGATAAAAAAAGAAAAGAACTTTGAAATTCATTATTTCTAGTTTTGTAAATATGTGGCTTGAATAAGAATTCATTCAAAACCTTCTAAAAGACAAAAAAAAAAGCACCTTGCAAAATTCTTTAATTTTACTTTCAGATATACATGTATTGATGATGTCCTATCACTGAATAACCTATTTCAGTCAGTACTTGCATCTTATATATCCCAGTAAACCTGAAATTATGGATACTACTGATACAAGAAGGACTGCTTCATACCTTGATCTTTTCCTCAATATTGACACAGATGGACGACTTCACACTAAAATCTATTACAAACGGGATGATTTCAACTTCCCAATTATCAATTTCTCATTTCTCAGCAGTAACATACCATCTGGTCCGTCGTATGGTGTTTACATATCTCAGTTGATACGTTATGCTCGTGCATGTTCACACTATACTGACTTCATAGACAGGAGTGTGCTCCTTACGCAGAATCTGCTCCAACAGAGTTATGAGGAAGAAAGATTAGAAATGACACTACGTAAAATTTATGGACACCATCACGAATTGGTTGATCTATACGATGTGTCTGTGTCTAAACTAACTAATGACATTTTTACCACGTCTTAGATTGTGGTATAACATCTATGTCGTCTGTCTGCTAAGTACCGAACGTGACCTATTCCCAAATATGACTGTTATACCGAGTGTGAATTTGGATTGCTATACGACGTGTCTCGGTATTTTGTACATCCAACATTCATGTATTTATTTTTGATGTTTCTGTTATGGTTTCGGTTTGATCATGTGTTATGTCTTATCGTTTGTAGTCCAAATAATTATAAAATTGCCTTTCAATACCATCATTGTCATGAAAATTGTTATTCTGGTTTCTGAAAATAATTGTATAAAGTTCGAGATTGCAGTTTCGTAACGTAAGTAAGTGCGTCACTGTTTTTGGTGTCTGTCGTTTATGGAAGATGTTCGTTGTTGTTCTGCGATTTGCATGTTATGTCGACTATTATATTATTTGTTTGTGCGTTTCTCTGTGATGTGCGTTTGTGCTGTATTTTTGTCAGGTAGTGTTGTCAATTTAGCGATATTTATTAACATTGTCATTTAAGGCGGGAGGTTTGGCTAGCCATAAAACCAGGTTCAACCCACCATTTTTTCTTAAAATGTTCTGTACCAAGCAGGGCCGTAACTACCAATGAGGCAGTCTAATTTTCTGGCAAAAAAAAAATAATAATAAGAAAAAAAAAGGAAAATGGAGAAAGCTAGGCATACAGGGGCTAGGGGTAGAAAACATCCTTGCATTTTCGAATAGTAATTAACGTTGACGTGCAGCTTCTGTACTTTTATTTCAACTACTTTAGGGATTGAACTCTCTGTCTGATTACAATCGCCAGTAAACCGGCATTTCGTTCTGCAATTATCTATTTCCAGCGATAAAGTCTCTTGAACAAGTTCGACCGTCAGAAGTTTTGGTTTACCAGGAGAAGCTACTATTTACATTGCTGGTCGGTTCTTGCTCATATGAGATATCTTTATCTGTCCTTCGACGTTATAAGACATGGTGAAGGTCAACAATGACCGAGGACAGATTATGTGGTTAAGCCATGCTTCATGTCCATCGTACGGACGATATCGGGCAAGTGAATGAAAAAGCTGTTCTCAAAACGATGTGATCTTAGTGGCACAAGAAAGGTCGAACTAGCATTCACATACAGTGACTATCATGACTATAGGTTCCACCCTTTTGGCTTTATCAAAGTGTCATTAAAATGTGTGTTATTTTTAATGAAGCGTTGCCCACACACACTTGTCCCGTTTTTTCTATTATCAAACATGTATCCTACTGTAAATGGATACATGTTTGATGGTACAAAATTCGAGGCAAGTATCTGTCAGCCGGCTCTGATAGCCTAATACAGTTCTTCATACGGTAAATATGAAATAAAAACGGATGTAACAAATTTTATTTCGGACCCTAATATTACAATTTTCTGCCGGGAGGCTTCGCCCCCCTAGACCCCCTATTAACCTGAGGGCCTCAGTTTGCGACCCCTAAACCCCTGTCTCGACTGTTTCCAATGTCTAGTTATGGCCCTGCCAAGTCAGGAATATGGCAGTTGTTATCAAAAAGTTCGTTTCTATGTATGTTGGCGTTTGTTTTGGTTGCACTTCAGCGGTCCTGTTGTTCCTTTGTTTTCCTCTTGTGGTTGATGTGTTTCCCTCGGTTTTAGTTTGTAACCCATATTTTTTTTCTCTAAATCGATTTGTGACTTTTGAACACCGGTATACTACTGTTGTCTTTATTTGAATAAGTGTGGTACTGAGAATGTAAGAGTCTACGTTTTCCATTCATTTAGAGGAAAACAATTTTAAATATGTCACATGTGGACCAGGACCCGCTTAGCCTTCTCTAACACCGGGGATCACTTCCAGTTTTGTTTTTGATGTCGTGTTTTATCGACTGGTGTTGATCTTTTTGTCGTGCTCATGTTTTTGCAATGCTTTTGTTGGTTTGTACTTGATTCATGATTGGCCGATTTTATTGAGATGAATAGAATAGAGCATAGAAACGAGGAATGTGTCGAAGAGACAACAGCCCGACCAAAGATCTAGAGGACACCAATAGGTCTTCAATGCAGTTAGATAATCATGCAACCATGGCTAATTTAAAGATCGAGGAAAACATGTAAGAACGACGAGAGTTTGTAATTTTTATTGACTACGATTACCGTCTTTCAACCGAATTCAATGATAATAAAATTTTAACTATAACAATACTTATGTTCGTATATATTACATCGATACTAGTGTCTTTTTTTATCAGTTGGCAAGACCCGAGGCAATTATGCATGCTGATTGATGTCTCTAAAACATCATTGGCAAAAAAATATATTTCAACTTTTAACAGAAATGTACTCATCGGGCCTTTTTTATATACAAATTAGTCTGCAAACACTACATGTGTACATACACTTCTAATGACTGAGCACACGAAATCAACCAAAATTCGGACACTCCTCTGGTGCTCTGTCATGAAAGGTTGGTCCAGGTATGAAACCTCTGTCGAATTCGATTTAATCTATAAATGTGAACTAATTAATTTATAAACGTAAAATATAGTATTTATTTTCATCATAGATCTGTAGTTTCGTATGTGTCTTCATTTACTTCATTTGGCTGTTTACAAACTTTATACTTATTCTTACTACATTTCTTTTTAATGTACAACCCTAGCATTACGAAAAATACACACGGTGCTATTCCACTCAATATCCCAAGTATAAATCCAGTATCGAAAAGTGCATCTATCCCTTCATCGATATCTTTGCCTATAAAAGATAATGAAGAACATTCAGTAATGCGCAATATCAAATGAATGTGTAAAGTGTCACCATACTAAATGATCCACCCTACTAACATAGTATGTTTTGTAAAGCAAATTTCCAGAGGCCAACTTATAAAGATAGAAATACGTAAACATCTGGAATGATTTACACCATGAGAGGTGTTGACCTGTGTTTTGAAATTCTTTATTATATGAACTATTTCAATTGATATTTTATATGCAGTTTTCAGTTGAGACACAGGGCATCGTATCGGTCAACTAATTTTTTTATGGTAACAGTAACATTTGAGTAATTTTTACGTTACATGTTTACATCTATATGAAAGTTCGTTAATTTCACGTTGATATATATTGATAATGTTCTGTCGGTTGATAGCCAACATTTAAGCAATTGCTGGTACGTCATTGATCTCAATCTCAATGCCATTAAAGACACTTCTGAGCTTTATATTTGAATCTTTTTCTTGTCATCAACACATAATGATGAGTTCAAGTAAGAGCTATGATTCAATTCTTCCAAAGTCAACTTCTAATATTAAAGAAGCATTGCACATCCTGCATCGTCGCATGTTGTAATATATTTCTCAATGAATCTTTACACTATAATAAACTGTCGACATGAGATATATCTCGCCTTTTTGTAATTTTGATAGTAAAATGTAAATATTAAATTCAAATGGCAATATTAAAACATGTAAACTATGCAAAACATTCAAAATCTATAAACCATGATGCAATGATTGGGCCATACATTCTCCATGGAAAAGAGGCTTGCAAAAGCTAATACATACCAAAAACCAATAGACCATTGATCTACCACTAGTGGTTACACTTAACCTGTTCCTAATCACAAACCTATACTTATGAGGTAAGCAACATTTTCAAAGTCAATAGACCCTGACTGAGTGTCGGGGCCAAATAATCTCCACGAAAATAGTATGTGCAAACGGCATGATAAATATTATTGACTTAATGTAACGTGATGTTTATTCATTTGTTATTCTTTAAAGAAGTTGGTCACATGATAACACTGTTTTATAGTTTCATATATTTTTTTTATCGAAAGGGTAGATTGAGAAATATGAACAACCTGGTCTCTTATATACAGCCTTACACAAATTTACTTTAATTTAAATTTTTGTATTCTTGTCTTTCATTTTTGCTAATGTGCTTTGTCTATATGCATTTTTGTGTTTCTTTGTTACATATTTGTTTGTTTTTATAGTGATTAAGATTATAACACTATGTTGACTGCTGTACCCAACTTTTGACATTTTCACATCGTTGTCAATATAATGGAATTTTATGCGACTGTCATACAAGTGAGAGGTTTAGCTAGCTATAAAACCAGGTTTTATCCACCATTTTCTACATAAGAAAATGTCTGTACTAAGTCAGGAATATGACAGTTGTTATCCAATCGTTTGATGTGTTTGAGCTTTTGATTTTGCCATTTGATTAGCAACTTTCCGTTTTGATTTTCCTTGAAATTCGGTAGTTTTTGTGATTTTAGTTTCTGCTACGAAGCTATTTAATATCTCATTGGTATGGTTTATGCTTTCATGCTAACACACCCTTTCACCCGGTCGACAATTGCTCTATAACAATTGGCTGTAGGAATTTTCGGTTCTTTATCATAGACAATTTTAGAACATACCAAACTTTTGAGGTGCTCTTGAACTGAAAATGCATTACATATTTGCTTATTGGCTTAAGCAACAATCAATCAACATTTTTGTTGATTTACTTCAATTTCTTAAGAATGTTCATTAGTCATTGTATAAATGTTAGCATCCTACCAGAGATAAGGCAACATTAAAGATCAGATGGGAATTAATTTACTGTCACCATATTTTTTGTATTTGATTGGGACGTGTACAAACTATTAATTACAGTAGTGATACATTTCTTAATGTTCTAAAACATCTAAAAAATGTTTTAAAGATATTAATTTTTAACATAAAATCATAAACAAATTGATCGATATAAAATGTATAAAGAATAATTTGTGTCCTTTTGGGTACTTCAAATTAAAAAGTATACACATTTCATTTCTATTAATAAATTGACAAAAAAGTATTCAGTCGCATTAAACGTGTAGACATGAATGTGAACAGCCTTTGAATGAAAACTGATTAATTTATTTGAGAACTGCCATTTTGTTTAACTTTGAAAACTAATTGCCTAATTTTCAGTAAAAATACACACATGTCCATTTTCTCTCATAAACCGATTGTTGTTTTTCATTGTGTTATTGTAATATTTTTTTTATCGCCGCGATATAGCCTTGTTGTGCTAATGCAGCGTAAAGCAACCAACAATCAATCAATGTAATATTTTTACTTGTGAACAGCAAGACCTGTCATGTACTAGTTCTCATAAACCGATTATTCTCAATTGGATTACAATATTATTGTTCACTATTTAAACACAATAGTCATCATAAAATGTGCTCTTCTAATTTTTCTCGTACATTTTATAAAAATGAGCAGTATGAAATAGCCCATAAATAAAAGAGAAAAATTCAAAAAACAGAAAGTTCTTGTCAAAACTTAAATAATGCAAATCAATTAATCCGCAAATACTGAAATATTAAGGATATGAATGAACTTACATGACTCGATGCTGTGTGACTTTTGAAAGATTTTTACGTTGTGATTTCCTATTGAACATATTATTGCTACCACATACTCTTTCCCCGGCCCGTGCAAAGGAATTTTTCGGTCAAATTCAACGCCAAAAAATATTCCTTTCTCAGATATTTTTAACGATTCTTCTAATGAATAATTACGAGCCTGAAACAAAAAATTGTGAATTATATTATTCAAAGGTACAAAGTATGTTCAAACTTAAATATGATGAATCAATAATGTTTTTCTAGTACAATTTACGTTCTGCCATATAAACCTTGGTGACATGTATAGATGCGCGTTGTTTAAATCTAATGACAGCTGAAGACTCTATTGGCCTGGTTGCATTTGCATAAAAGGTGAGGCATGCTTACTAGCAGGGGACGCTTAACCCGTTAATACCTCCACCATATTTCCTGCAGGTCATACGATGGCATCGGTACTTTTGCTCCTGTTGATATATTCCAAATTTACAAATTGAGAAAATTTGTAATATCTATCATTTTACCATCTTAATCATGTACTACCAATAATTTTGACAGTTTTTGATTGATTACTTTTTTATTGTTTACTTTTTTATTGTTTACTTGATAAATATTAAAAAAAATCCTGTTTTATGTAATGTTAACCCAATAAGCTGTTTTATGACTGTATTCACTGTTATTTGATAATATATAATTTATTTACATTCAAAACATGCCAACAACTTCGAATAACTGGATATACTTTCCGAATAAGAACATTAACGTAGATGAAACTGTACGTATTATCAAATGACGTTGTGACATGGATATCATCTCCCGTCGGATAATCTACAATCAAATACACATGCATCATTGTTAGATAGATAGGTAAAACTTCAGTACCGAAATGTTGCATTTAAATGTAATTTGTTTGGTTGATTTGTTTAATAGCGTTAATAGTATAAATAAAACCACAAAAATACTGAACTCCGAGGAAAATTCAAAAAGGAAAGTCCCTAACCAAATGGCAAAATCAAAAGCTCAAACACATCAAACGAATGGTGAACAACTGTCATATTCCTGACTTGGTACAGGCATTTTCTTATATAGAAAATGGTGGATTAAACCTGGTTTTAAATAATGTCTTAACAAAATCAGTTTACCTTTCGGGAACACTTGAGAAACCCTCTTTCCACCGTTGTTTGGGCTCTTGCTGCTCATTCTTCACTATTCAGTGTAATATTTTGTAATTGCTGTTTGACATTTTGGTGTTGGTCCTATTGGGTGTATCTAATTTACACCAAGTTAGTTGGGTTACTGCACAATGATAGATTTAAAAGTTTAAGGAAGGGGTCTTATCAGAAATACATATTTTTTTAAGGGGAAACACGATAAATTAAGGATATTCAGTTACATTTTATTGCATCTTTTTGAAAGTATGTATACTTTACCTTCAATCTGTATTGTATACATTTTTTGCAATGACAGTTAATCAAACGTGGAAAAATATGCGTTTAACGTTTGGAGCTTAAAATATCAGCAATGTTCGTTTTTAGGTTTTATTATGATAAATATGTACTCAGGCTGATATCCAGTTGAAAATAAACAAACGAAATGGAACTCTTTATTAAAGAATTGTTTACATTTGTTTATATGGGTTTTAAAGTTATATTATAAGTAGGTGCCTAATGAAATTGGGTAATTAGCTCATCAAAAAGAAAATTCGAGTTCACCTTTTTATGTTCAGGCGTGTTTGAGTTGACTGTTTTGTCTTGAAAACGTATAAATCAAACATATTTGATACATAATCTCGATTCAAATTCTATTATTTTTTATATATTTAGGCTACATGTTGACAAAATAACATTAAACATGTTAAAATTCACAGTACTAAAAAATGTAATATGGGTCATGTGAAATACCTTTCTAATGAGTCATTATAACAGAGTAGGTGTATTTGAATAACAAATATTTCACTAAAAGTACTTGACAACAGGGGTCTGTTGTTCAACTTGTCGTTAGTGCTAATGAGTCGTTAAAATTTCTTAATCATTCGATTAAAAATAATCATATGACTAGTGTGTTGTTCAACTTGTCGTTAATTTTAACGCGGTGTTAAAAATGCTAAAACTGTCGTTAAATTTAATCCACCTCATGCAGGTGTATTAAATTTTAATCATATGATAAAAACATCCAACATGGCTGCTGTACCAATGCAGAAATTGGTTTATGCTCGAAAAATGAGAAGTTTAAGAGATATTTATCTCCAGCCATGACCAGCTATGAAAGCGCTTAAGATTTGAAAGAAACACAATATACTTGCTAGGAGTTGAATTGAAACATAAATTGGAAAGAGATTTTACAAGATAGGGCGAAGGATCGGACGGATACATACAATGGTCGTCTGATAACAGAAAGAAATTGCACATTTCGGCAGTTTTTGATTGTATTTTACCGCTCAGTGACAGTGTTAACGTTGATAGTACATACTAAAGAAGGGCCACATTATTGTGCGGAATCATTCAACAAATTATGAGGAACCAGTTTTTATAAATAATAAATGTTACCATAGCATTAATGTACAGGCCATAAGTGATTTCCAAAGCAAGTCTTTTAATTTTTCCCGTTTTTCGAAGTTCAAATATTAGCACATTCAGTAGCGCCCTTGACCTAATTGCTCGTAAATTGTAATGGATCAATTCGTCCCACAGATAGCTCGGACCTTACGATATATATCTTTACACGGAATTTTTAAACATCATATATTTATTCCCATTTTGTAAAATTTATGAGTTTAACGAGGATCCAAATCAGGGGCAGATCCAGCCATTTTTAAGGGGGTGGGGGTGTGTTCCCACCCAGGATAAAAGGGTTGTTCAAACCATATGTCCCCTTTCAAAAGCATTGATTATCAAAAAAGAGGGTTTCAACCCCCGGACCACCCCCCCCCCCCCCCCCCCCCCTGTTTTTTCTCAGCTGACACAATATACAAAAACAAGCACCTGTTACTAAGAATTTGGAAAATCTCATTTCCGAGTGTCAGACTTTTTCAAAAGAAGTCTTATACCCCCGTTGGATGAGAGGTAGGGTGTCTACATGTATTACTATATTACGAATAATTTAGATCATCACAGAATATATGTATGAATTTTTTAACACTGAACTATGCTTCTCCGGTTAGTCCGAGTAGGAAATGATAAAATATAACTTGCATCAATATTAAAAATAAAGAGCATGGAGCATCCTTGTTATAGTATACACTATCAACCATATAACTTTCAACATGTTATATTCTACCGTTGTTATGGTTATGCGAGTTATAAACATAGTTGAGGTTGAAATAAAAATAAATAGTCAACATTAAAAGTTATTTTTTTTTGTCTCGCTTGCGACAAAAGTCACAGTATGCGAGACATAGGGAATACTATCCGGCTGCGGCGGCGGAAAAGCTTTATATTTCAAAAGGTAGATGATCTGTCTGCTTGATACCTTGTTACCGTGTATGCAGATACCTTATGTTAGTAGGTCAACTATATGTGATGTATGGAATGATTGTTAGGGGTGCATGTCAGTCTTGCGGGTTTCATCTGACCTTGACCTCATTGTCATGGTGCATTGGTCAAAGTTAAATTTTTGTGTTTTCGTCTGTCTTTCAATTACTATAAGCAGTAGGTCTATATTTGGTGTAAGGAATGATTGTAACGTGTACATGTCTGCCTGGCAGGTATAATATGACCTTGGACTCATTTCCATGGTTCAATGGTCAATGTTAAGTTGTGTTTTGGTCTGTTTTTCAATTACCATAAGCAATACACATGATAAATGTAGGTCAACTGTAGGTGTATGGAATAATTGTAAGGTGTACATGTCTGTCTGACTAGATTTATGTGACCTTGATCTCATTGTCATGGATCTTTAAACATGTTGAGTTTATGTGATAGTTGTAGTTAAACCTTTAGCTATAAGACTTTCAACATAAAATCAATGGTCAGTAAAGAAGGCTACACATTTCAGCGTGTTCACTCTTGTTATTTCCTTTGACGTCGTTATCCGACAGTGTGATTTAAAATTAAAAAAACTTTTAAATCACTTCTTTATTATGGTTTTTTACTGGTTAAAACTTTATTAATTTAAATAAACATAAATATAATCAGCCATTTCTGCATGTTTATGTACGTTTTTTTTTCTTAAATTCTTCAAGCACCATTCTGCATCCTTTTACTGTCAATCTTGTGATATACTTTATTGTTTTTCTTTTTTTATTTCTGAACTTTTGGTTTTGTTATTTTTTTCAATTGAGAGATATTGGTTATGTGCGTGTTTTCGTAAGAGCAAATTAAGACTAGTCGGCTCGCAGTGAGGTTAATGTGTCTGAAGAGGGTAACATGTCTTCCTGCGGACTGTTATCTTGTGAATTAGCATGCTAAAAGTCCGGTTCAGCTAGTCGGTCTAGTACAAAGCAGGATTAATATTCATAACATACTAGCATGTTCTGGTCCTAAATATGCATATAATCACCGCGCAGGAAGTTGAACAGCATATTTATAACGGAGAGCAATTAAGAGAATGTACTTCCAACAAGAAGATGCACGTTTTGCCAAAAAAAAAAAAAAAAACATAAACATAATCCATAGTTATTTTATTCATAGTAAGCAGCCATCATTGTTGGTCGGTTGAAGCATAATCTCATCCAATTGTAAAAGAAACCACAAAAAGGGACCAAATAAACATCTGCTACTTGGTATACAATCTGTTTGCATGTGCCTGTCCCAAGTGAGGTGCCTGTAATTCAGTGGTTGTCGTTTCTTGCTATATATCATTGTTTTACGTTCATTGTTTTTTACATATATAAGGCCTTTAGTTTTCTTGTTTGAATTATTTTACAGTGATTTGTCATTTCTAAGCCTATTATAGCTTATTCTTCGATATGAATATTGCTCGTTGTTGAAGGCCGCACGGTGACCTATAGTTTTGAACTTCTACATTATTTGGTCTCCGACAGGTAGTTGTCTCGTTGGCAATCATACTACATCTTCTTGTTTTTATATTTACTATTATGCACCCCATCCCACGTGAATACGGGTCCCCAAGATATAAGATACTGTCGGATTGCTTTCTTTGATCTTTATTATTGTTTTTATTTGGAAAAAATATAAAATTTGTTCTGACAGGGTATTGTCAATAAATGTCACGAACAAGTCGTTATTTTAGTTTTAAAAAATCATTAAAAAGCTTCTCTAAATTTATACACTGTGACGGACTATGTATTATGCCATTACACTTACAAAATTGAATATTTAAAATTGTCAAACTGTATCTTCTTATGCCGTATGAACTACAATCGATCACAGTTCTGTAATTTATTTACACCATCTCTAATATTTATCTAAAATGTTAACTTGGCATGCCCTACTTGATGAAATGCGGACGTGAAAGAAAGCACTCTTCACCTACGCGTCAACGGAGTTTTCAATCCCAATGATTTCGTCATTTATAAAACAAAGGCGAATCTTTAGAATGTTATAATTTAAAGCAGAAAAGGAAGTTATAGGCCTTGATTTACAATGCATTGTAGGAAACACTTGGTTATTACCCAAAAATTAATCAGTGATTTACTAATACAATGATTAAAATAAGTTGAACAACGCAATTTAATCGTTGTATTTACTAATCATGCGATTAACTTTTAACGACTCGTTAAATTTAACCATATGATTAGTTAAATCACAAGTTGAACAACAGGCCCCAGACTTTACAAGTGGATCTTTAGAATACATGACTTAAAGAAAAACAATTTTTGTCTGTGGTATCTCGGGTAATAAGTCTTCAACCTCTGAAAATAGTTATTCTGCCCTTCCACGAAATACTTATTTAATTTTTTAGTATTTTTTTAACATTCTAAAATTTCCCTTGACAACCGATCAGAAAATTATCTAAAGTTGACAAAAGGCCCAAAAGTACATTTAATGATGCTTAATAGCTAGTGGATACATTTGTCTTTTTAAATACAACTCTCTTGCAAGGATCGTTATAAAGCTATGTGGATACATTTATATGTTTTCAAGAGCTGAATTGACAGCGTGTCATCCCTACAATGGCTTCTATTTTTACGATTAAAAAATAGGTGTCGTAATGAGGAGATGATTTTGACAAAGTAGAATCCTGACTGTACTTACATGCAATATCTATAGTATTCAAAGATAGGTTAATCCATGCTTCGTGTAGTCCAAACTCGCAAGAATAATTTGCGCTTACATCACTTGCGTTAATTGTTGATATTTTAAGAACACGTTCAAAATCTTCCTCTCCATGTACATCTTTATATTTCGACTTAAAGAATGATTGTTTGTTATTGACCAAAATTATTCTGCCGTTTTCACTTTGTTTATACCAAGTTACACCATTTAGATCATAAACAGTTTTACTCTGAGCAACACAGGAAAGCCTCAACATTTGTCCAAACTGAACAGGTTCTTCCAGCAGTCTCAATGTAACTAAAATTATTAATTGAAAGCAGCATCTGTTCAGACTCAATGTAAAGTAAAATATAAATGTTTACATTTACGCCTACAATACAAGTTTAAATGAAAAACGATAAATAAGTAAAATGGTATTCAAAGTATTAGTGATCACGGTAACAGGCTCTGATATACATTATACATGCTCGTATTGGAGAAGTTACAATCATCTGGACATTGTTATATAATTAATATTTGAAATATAAATGTTCGAAATGCTTTTGAATTTTTCCTGTTTAGAACAGCACATTCTGGAAGCTTTCATATGAAGATAATCAATGAAGGCATTTTTGTTTTGTTTTAGAGTACTAGTATCTAAACCAAATCGGAAACATCATACAATAATGTATACTCATCCAACAATCAAATAAATTCTATTACTTTCATATTCATACTGCTTTTATATACATCAAGTGATCTTTTAACTATTACTGAATATAATGAGGTTCCCACTGTATTTCTTGTTATATTACAATTGAATTATATTGGTTTGTTATATTATTACCAGTCATTGTGTTTGTCTCTCCATATGTTAAGTCTTGAGCTATCTGACGAATTTTAATCCAGAAGTAAGGGTTGTCTGCAAGAAATTGCGTTCAAACATTTTAAATATTCCTGTGTATTCGGTTGGTCGTTGGATACCACTCATTCACCATACACGTATGCCCGCAGCAGAAGCTTTAGAAACCATATGAATGATTTATTTTTCTCTGATAATGTTGGATTTTTTGTTATTGAAAGAGTAGGCAGTAGGTTTGGATCATGTCAATTGGTGTCTTTATTTCATCTTTAAAACTGACTTGCTGATTTGAAATTATTGTAGATTTATACTTTATTTTACCTAATTGAGTTTGTAGATGTCCAAAGCATGAAATCCACATTAATAGACTTGGTAACATTTCTGCTTATTCTCATTCCTTAAATAAATCAATTTTTAAAATCCAAACTGCTTTATATACAGGTATAGCCCTTATGAAAAAAGACTACAGATAAAATGAATAATTTGTTCAAATGATTGTTTATGGCGTGATGTACATATATTTGGATAGATGTATAATTATGTAGATAGATTATATAATTATTTATAATGGAAATTGTTTTCCCTCATGTGCATTTTCCCGTAACAAATGAGACGGTATTAATGCGGGGCCCCTTAGTTACTTCCCTTGACATCTTAAGGTTGATGTAACAGCTGAGATAAAAGTTCAAATGGACCATTACTTACATACCTCAAAAATTTTATCAAAGTATACGATAAAAGTTATTCCCACAGCTTGCATTGTTACGGAGGTTTTTTTTATAAATTTGTTTCTCTGTTATTCCTCTTAATCATAAAAAAAAATACATTCAATTACTACTATGTATCATAACACGTAATCTGAAAAGTGGAATAACACTTAATAAATGTGAAAAGTAAAATAACAAAAATACCGAACTCTGAGGAAAATTCAAAACGGAAAGTCCGTAATCAAATGGCAAAATCAAAAGCTCAAACACATCAAAAGAATGGATAACAACTGTCATATTCCTGACATGGTACAGGAATTTTCTTGTGTAGAAAATGGTGGATTAAACCTGGTTGTATAGCTAGCTTAAACTTTCACCTGTATGACAGTCGCATAAAATGCCATTATATTGACAACGATTTGTGAACAAAACAAACAGACATAATAGGTAAAAATGTCAAAAATAAGGGTACAGCAGTCAAAATTGAGTTATAATCTTAATCACTAAAAAATCAAACAAATATGTAACAAAGAAACACAAAAATGCATATTAGCAAAAATGAAAGACAAGAATACAAAAATTTACCATAGCACAATAACACAATGACGGGATGTATAAGTACAGAGCCACGTCAATTGGATATCACCAAAAACAGTATAAACAGTAAAAGAAATATTCTAAAAGACAAATAAAAGAATACTATAACACGTTATTAAGATGATAAACAACGTCAGTACCCAGAGTCTATACTTCAAGACCATCGTGAATTATTTGTAAAGTTTATACGGAACTTTTATCAACAAGGTCTTGGTATCTTCCGATGAACTTTTTTTTAGAAAAATGACGCGACGTTCTTTGACATACCCCTGGTTCAACAACTTTCTACTCAGACACTGGTGACGTTTTACAAAGTCTGAGTAGCAGCTGCAAGCTCTTGAATACCAAATAAGTTGAGAAAAATGTATCCCATATGTAGTTGAAGTTGGAATATTGCTACAAAGGTGACGGAAATTGATAATTTCAAAATTAAAATCGGCTCGTTTGTCATAGATGCTGGTACTGAGATGACCGCGTATGTCAAATTCGAGGTATGAGTCTAAAAATGAGGCGGAGGAAGCCGTGTCTGTTGGTTCTTTAATTTCTAGTTCTTGGGGATATATTAATGGAATCCAATCAGAAAATTTTGAATTGTTATTGGAAAGACCAACATCAATATATCTGAAAGTGATAAATTCTGTCCACTTATACGCTTTTCTAATGACATTTTAAGTGCTACCAATTGTACTGCTCCAGATGTGTATTTCGATATAAATAAAGATATAACTAATTGATCAGAGAAATATATTATATACACTCATTCATTCTTGTGACGGATTAATTATGATTATACAACTGTCTGACTTTACTAGATTAAAAGCATTGTATATATTATTCGTTAAGAAAGAAAACGCAATATCGATTTAAATAAATGAATAAAGTATTGAATCAACACATTAGAAGTTCAATCAAAGATAAGTTCTGAGACTAATGACATCGAAAATAAAAAAAAAATATTAAGTATTGGAGATAAATAAAACAAAAATACCTAGTCCGCCATTTTGATGTATCCAACCATTTTGTCATTGTAAGATAATACATGCAAATTAGATTAATACAAAAATAAGTTTTTCTTTGTTTTTATCAAGTCATTGTGAAAATATACCTTCGAACTAAAAATAATCATATTTCTTAAGTACAATATTTTTTCAAGTTGAGACAATTATAATATTATTATACACTTTTGGCTTCCTCTTTTTCGTCTATCTGTTTGTCCTCAAATAATGTATATTAGAGAAATATTATCCAATATGCGTTTTCAATAGTTATATGATTGAGGATAAAATAGACTTTTTTTTTATTGAGAAATAAATAATAAATTTCAGAAACCATTCATTTATCTAATTCGAAATTACAGACACCGCTGTTTTTGATTGTTTTTGTTTTCAATTAAGTACCAAATTCAAGGATTTGTATTGTTTTTTTTTTTAATTAAATAAATGCAGTTTCATATTACGTGACTATTAAAGGGGCCGTATGTTTTGTTAAGTGATAAAACATGGACATTGTTAAATACATGCTTAAATTCATAAAAATAGGAAACCAGAGATTGACGACTTTAACATGAACGGCACTCTTGCTGAAATTAAAGTAGTTTTAAAAAAGATATATAAGAAGAATAGGAATAACCAAATATATTCAAAAGTATCTAAATTTTGACTATCTGCAAAAGGAAGCATTTTAATAGAATAAGTTAGTTTATTAAACCTGCGAGAAACATGATATTTACAGATAAGAGGATGATAAGTTGAGTGAAAGTGAATCGAAGCATCCATGAGATTGTCGTGTAATTTTTGTGCTTTCTACACGTATCAACCTGAGCATGTGGGTTATTTTTGTAACCACAATAAACGTCATTTATTTATGAAGATTTCTTTTAGCAAGTACTAAACAACTATATTTGTAGTGCTGTAATTTGATAAAACTTTTTATTAGCATATTCTTAAAAAAAACTTAAGTATCACTTTTAATTTTCATATAATATACATTGTCACTTTAAACAAATGAAAAGTTTACCAATTTATTTGATAAAACAATCACTGTCAAAAGAAACAAAACAAGAGTTGATGTATTGTCTTTGTATATCAATGTGTGACATCTAAAACAGATTTGAACGAATGACTGACGTTATTGAATATATTGGTTGAGATTAAGGGTATAACATTTTGAAACAATTACAAGACAGTTTTCATATCAGATATTTTATCGGATCTGTGACATTATATATATAGTATATATATGATATGAAAAATGTGATACTATGATGTTTCGTCATATTCTTTCACTTGGTAATGATGATTGTATGATCCGAAAATTGTTCGTTCACAAGTTACTATTGTTGATTTTATATCTTTTTATATTTTATGATTGGTCTTATCATTTCGATTCCTTATCGATCTAAATTGTTCACAAGTTACATGTATTTTACGCTTAACTATAATCCTTTAATTTACATTAATTATTAAAGATTTATATCCGTCTTTATGTTCAAACATTGCGCAACATAGAATTAAGATAATTTGACACATAATGATACAATTGCTGAAAAGCGACTCTTGACAAACTTGAGAAACAAAACATGTTTTAAACCGTAATCCCCGCTTTCGGCAAAACGCGAATTTATATTATTTGATAACAAGATATTTTGATTGGTTCATTTTCCGCATGTCAATCAGTCTTTGAATTTGTATTTTATATTTGTTTTTCATGTTGTTATTCAGTTATGTTTTGATGATTGAAATATATGGATGCGAAATGAATATGTAAATTTTCCAGCGACTTGGACTTTATATTAGAGACAGCTACATTTGTAGTTTTCCCCCAAAAATGTAATATATGACCGATCCGACAACTTGGTCATATTATATGAAAATGCTTTCATAAAACAAATATACCAATCGAAACAACGCAATACATGCACCAAGTCAACAACATAGGCAGTTTAATATATATATATATCTATAACTATATTTAAGAAATATATAACTGTAAAATACTCAAACGACAATTTCATAGCTTAAACGAATATTTTAAAAGTTTAAATCAATGGTTATATTGTAATATTTGTTTTTTTATAATATATTTTCCAGTTTCCTAATATTTGTTTTTATAATATATTTTCCAGTTTCCTAATATTTGTTTTTATAATATATTTTCCAGTTTCCTAATATTTGTCTTTCATCCTACTGCGTTGCTTTTTTACATTGAAAAGTTAACATTGACGTGTATTTTCAAGAATTTTCCGAATGACGACGTTTTGTTTTAATGATGCAAAGCGGTACGAACAGACATGCAATAATATCCGGAAGCAGGTAGTAATTATTTTCATACCAGCTCTCAGCCGCATTTCTGAAAGAAAGGAATTTTTGTAAAATGTAAATGCTATTATCATCTCTATAAAACTCACAGTACATGATGATTTTCGGCAACATTAGTAAACCAATGATATTTCTCATGAATTGATGACGAAGACACAAATCAAGGTAAAATCAAAACTATATTTCAGTATAATAGTTTCGTGATATTGAAAGAAGTCTCAGAAACCAAAAACAGACATAATTGATAAACGTGACAATAATTGGGATCTAGGAGCCAAAAGTGTGTAAACAAACTTCACATATATATATCAAAACTGATTAAATACTAAAAACAACCCAAAAAATCGTCAATGACTACATACCAATCTAAGAAAGACGACAACAAAAAGAGTTTGTAATTGATAGTAAAATAAGATATATTATAGTAAAACATTTTTGACATTCACATACTCTCCTGAAACAGTACAAAAGCAACAATTGAATACAAATACTCACAACATTCAAAGATAAATAAAATAGGTATTGAAAAAGTAAATAAAATGATCCACCAATCTATATCTCAGGAACATAAACGGAACATCAAGCAGTTCATGTTAATGTATTGTATTGTATAGCGACCAGCGGATAAACGAGTAGACTGTGACAACATCAATAGTATCTAAGTACTTTTCCTTTGAATCAAAGATCAAAGAGTAAAATAGCTTAAGGATGTTCGCTACTCTGTTTTAAAATAACAAGTTTTTTAAAAGACTGTTATAGATGGATAGTATATAAATAAAGGAACTAAAAAAGCAGAAACAAATGGAGGGTCGGTGTGCTTGTTTTCGAGATTAAAGCCATTGAAAATTTTGCGGGAAATAATTCTCTCTAGATTTTTCACACATTTAACATTGGCACCTTTTTTCTTTTAAAAAATACGAAAAAATAACAAGGAATTTATAGGATTTTCAAATATGGCTTTTTAAACTATATGTAATAAAATTATGAAAAGAAAAGTATGGGTTAGCGGGGAAAATGTTTTAATGGCACTACATGGATAAAACCAAAGGATTCCGAATATCTGGCAAAAATTCAAAAACAAGAGGAGCGAACATCCTTAAAAGGACAAAATATTTCAAGATAAAAAAAAATCGTTCTATTTTCTTATGCTTTAGAAAAGAGCAATTGCTTTTAAATTTCAAACGGTTTTTGTCGTATGTAAAATACACTGATACACAAATAGGGTTAATCAGTAATACCTATTACGATCAAAATAAAACACTGATAATTGTTCGATCACTCATTCAGTTCAATGTCACAAATGATTTTATGAGATGGTGGAATATCCCCAAACTATATGGACCTGAGCTTCACTTCGGTCCGTATACTTTCTTTTGCAGGAATCTACCCCAGGCGTAGTGAACGCCCCATCACTGAGAAATTCGTTGTAACTTTTTCACACCTCTTTCGCCGGTTTGAGCAGAAACCTTACTGGTTGCTAAATAAGGAATATGCAATGCAGAACACAAATGCGAAGAAGTATCAATACATTGTAGACGAAAACAGGCAAATAAACATATCATGTACTGTCGTAATTGGTCAATCTGATCTTAATACTCCGAGCAATGTCGAACATAAAAGCAAAGACGGGTCCGTTAAGATATTTATTTCATTATCTGTGAAAGAACTAATGCTAAATAGTTTTAATGAATTGATTAACTTTCAATAAAAAAAATCGACTTGAAAACAAAGGTGAAATAGTACACATCAGGGACCTTTTTAAGAATGAAAAGGCGATAGCTGTGAAATATGGGAGTATTCGTACTCAACACTTCAACAGACATGCGAGACAAATATTTCTAAACAAGGGTTTTGTCACCATGGTTGAAAAGACGACGACGCAAAAAAAATCAACCAAAACAAAACACTACAAAAAATTCATGATGATTTAACTCCGTAAAAAACAAATGGGGCTTCAGAAATGTGAGCATTCATGTCATAAAATTAAAACTAATTGCAAGTCATATATTGTGATAAGTTACAATCGCATATATCACAATTGAGGTAAAATGGAACTGAATTGTGGTCATCTGTGATTTATCGCGACAGTCGACAACATTTTGAGTCCGTGACTCTTTCAAAGAATGAATTAAATGATCCACAACGTCAGTACCTGCAATCTATATATCAAGACGATCAACAGAACATCAAGCAGTTCATGCATTATATAACAGAATGACCAGCAGGCAAACTAGTAGACTGTGACAACATGAATAGTATGATAGTACTCTTTTTTTAGATCAATATAAGCTTAAGAAAAAAGGCTTAAAGGGAAGAAATATTTCAAGTTAAAACAAAATCTTGCTGTATTTCTTATGCTTTAGAAAAGAGCAATTGATTAGAATTTAAAAGGGTTTTTGTCATTTGTCAAATACACAGTGTTATTCATATTACGATCAAAATGAAACACTGATAATTGCTCGATCACTTAATTATACAGTTCAATGCCACTTCTGACCAAATGATTTTAATTTGATTTATTGACAGTCAACCACATGTTGTGTCCGTGAAACTTTCAAACTGATGACTTCTACTTTACTCCTTGGAACTTTTGATAGATTTCTTGCAAGAAGTCACCCTCATTCAAGTATATTATGATATAATAAGCAAGCCGTGAAATATCGTATCAGCATATAAACCCTATAATATACAATATATGTAAACGTTATAGGAGTCGACGAGGCAGTAACATTAGGATACGACTAACCTGGAAGACACATTTACAAAATTGTCCATCTATAGATTATAAAAAAAATAAGGTTTCAACTACCTCAGGCAAAGTTGATTTTAGATTGATTTGGCTACTGTTTCAACGTCCTCGTTTGTCATATAGCTCTCCAACTGTTTTGGGTTCTTATGCATGTTATACATCCTTGGCTTTCAAATATTCGGCTTTGAGCGTTCCTGATGAAGGTAAATCCAGAAACGCTCTTCAGACGCATGAAATTAATCACGTGTTGTTTTCGTTTGTTTAAAGGGTACTATGATGTCTGCAAAAATAGACAAAGGTCTATGACATTTGTGAAGCTCTGAAACATATGGGGTATAGAAACGACGGTTTTGAGGCATGAATACGTTTTGTAATGTCAATACAACTTATATCTTTTATTGAAGGGAAATTATAGGAAACCATTTATGCAGTGCAAGTGATTCTTTTATTCATATATGGTCACCGTGAATTAACCTGTATCTGTTGTGCTATGAACATCCTAGTTGATGACCTATTAGGTGTATTTAGTGTATTTTAAAAGGAGATTATTTGTTTGTAAACTCTACCAACTCTTTCACAAGATTAATACATATCGAAAGTCGGGTTAATAAATCACTTAATTCCTTAAAAATATATTTAATACAAATAATTTTTTATTCAAATTAAATGCTTTAAAAATTGAGCCAAAAATTACAAAATGTGTGTTCATTTATACTAGTGAGTCAGACGTCATGAATCTGGTTACAGCCGATTGCATTGAGTGTGTAGGCAAAGGTAATATCTTTGGTTAGCTTGCTTGCTAGCTGAACCATGAAGTCATTGTTAGGTAAGGTATACTACCCTCCTTTCGAAGTAGCTTAGTCCTACAGACAGATAGATTGGTTATCTGTCGGACTAGTCTACTCTTAAAGGAGGGTAGTTTACCTAACCTAATAATGACTTCACGGTTCAGCCAGCAAGCAAGCTAACCAAAGATATTACCTTTGCCTACACATTCAATGCAATCGGCTGTAACCTTTTACATATAATCATCATGGTAGCATTTGAATGAATACATTTAAAAACAATCAAATGGTGTTCAATTATTTTTGACGAATAATTATAGTATAACATATATATTATAATCATATGAAATACAGATTCAAGCAATACCACAAGTACGGATAACTCATAATAAGTATGTAATGATAAAAAGCTGTTAATATATCTACTGAGTTCAATATAATAGTGAAAAAAATATTCGACACAAATACAAACAAACAAGCAAATAAACATACATACTGTCAAATTTGCCGCCACTAGAGACAATATTGTATCCGCGTAACATCACAACAAATTGTAAAGATAAGTTGGAAGTTGGAAACTGCTTGGCTCATTAGATTGAAACGAAGCACAAAAACATCTATCATGAAAACAATAGTGTCAAAGGGCCGGTCTGATAATTTTCACACTTACAGAAAGCTACTTTAAAGCTAATAACAACTGATAAATAAATCATTTTCTCCCAAACTGTATTGTGAATAATATTTATTGAGACACAGTTGATTTCATACAAATTTTCTCCTTTTCACAGATGATAAAATTGAAAATAGAAATGGGGAATGTGTCAAAGAGACAACAACCCGACCATAGAGCAGACAACAGCTGAAAGCCACCAATGGGTCTTCAATGCAGCGAGAAACTCCCGCACCCGGAGGCGTCTTTCAGCTGGCCCCTAAACAAATATGTATACTAGTTCAGTGATAATGGACGTCATACTAAACTCCAAATTATACACAGGAAACTAAAATTAAACATGATACAAAACTAACAAAGGCCAGAGGCTCCTGAGTTGGGACAGGCGCAAAAATGCGGCGGGGTTAAACATGTTTGATGAGATCTCAACCCTCCCCCTATACCTCTAGCTAATTTAGAAAAAACAAACGCACAACAGTACGCACAGGAAAATTCAGTATAACAGAAGTCCGAGTCCGATGTCAGAATAGGAAACAAAAGAAAATAAACAAAATGACAAAAATACATAAATAACAACAGACTACTAGCAGTTACTGACATGAGTTTGAATGAACAAGAAACCAAAATCAAATTGTGTTTATTTATTTATGGACGAATACATATATTCTTACATATATATGAATATTTACAGAGATCAATAATCATTTAGATAAAATGCATTAGGTTCATAATTTTGAATATTATAACTCTTGCTGGGAACAATTGTTTTCAAATTCATGATAACTATGTTCTGATGTCTTTCTCTTACATACTTTAGTGCAATGGCGTTCAGCACAGATATATAGTAAAATTCCAACTACAGTAAGTAATGCATTCGCAAAAATCACACCAATAATTTTCTCTGTTTCACTGTTTGTTTCATCGCTCATAGGTTCTGAGTTAACAACTGAAAAAAAAACTCTGTTCGATAAAAGCATATTTTTGGTGTCAAAGGTAAAAATAAACGTATAGTGCACACATTAAGGCGGAGGAAACGAGTTGTTATACATAGTTTGCATAGCTCTTCGCGTATTTATGTACTTTGAAAAGCGTTGATTTGAGACTGGGCATCGATATCAGTCCAATGTATATTTTCAATATGTCGTTGTAGCAATTTTTAAACATATCTGATGAATGTTATTTACAAACCTCGTCTAAAAGATTGAGGCATGATAAGAGCCATTATTTGGCCCCAGAGATAAAAAAAAAAAAAGGAGCCTTTAAAAATTATTATTTTTTTTGGGAAAATGAACAGATTAATGCATACTGGATATTTTTTGTTTAGAAAAATCAGTTGTGATGTTAATATGATGTCATAATCATGTTTTAAATTTACTTTCTTGATATTGTGGTAGCACAATACAAAGATGTTTTCACCCCCAATCAGACAACTTTAAACTAATGTAATTTCTTTCATTCAGCTGTAAATTTTATAAATGAGGTACCAAAAGAAAGAAGAAAGATTAATCTTTCAAATGGTGAAAACGTCAATGTGACATAATTATTACATAATTAATTATTATGTAATTAGTTGCTATATTGAGATGTCCACACTTGAATGAAAATAGCTTCTTTGTTATTCATAGCATCCCAAAATATTTTATAGATTCTTGTATAACACAGTTTGACCTTCAAAAGGGTGTCTCAGATTTTTCCTTTTGTATTTCATTCTCTGATAAACCTTCAATGAAGTTTGCAACCTAAATTCATAAGAGATCACTAAATTTAATTGGGTATAAATTTGTTCTATTGATGTTTGTGGAAATCTGAGACACCCTTTTGAAGATAACTGGTCAAGGAACAACATGTGTGAAAATCAGACATATAGGGGCACCCATCTAGGAGCTAAATTCATTGAAAACTACATTTTCATGACAAAAATGAATGTGTCACAATTGAATAAATAAAGATTTTCCTATTTGTACCCCATTAACTTCAACATAATTCACACATGTACCATTGGGATAATTCAGGATTGGCCTTCAATCATAAATCAATTAGGTTTTGACCAGTAAGAAAGCATTCAATTTCAGCAATTCTAAATATATAGAGAAAATGCACACCCTATGCATCAAAAACCAGATCTGGCGGGAGATGTTATATCATTATTGACCTTTGTTGTAAGTCAGTTGCTACTGATATGGTCAAAACTCCGCCCACCATGATAAACCTTTACTACTAATGATCTCAGAAGTTTAATTACACATTGTATTTACTTATTTACGTATTCAATATGGATTTTATTCATTTTGTACATAACATAATATATATGTACAGAAAATGAACGAATAACAAATATGTAACACATAAACAAACGACAACCACTGAATTACAGGCTCCTGACTTGGGACAGGCACATACACACAGAATGTGGCGGGGTTAAACATGTTAGCAGGATCCCAACCCTCCCCCTAACCTGGGACAGTGGTGAAACAGTACAACATAAGAACGAACTATAAAAATCAGTTGAAAGAGGCTTAAATCATCAGATGGATAAAAATACAAATACTACAAATACAAGTGGACGTGGCCGGGTACTTGACCATCCAAACAACAAAAAGACACTAAGTACAGATCTGAGAGTACTCGCAGTTACTGACAGCTAGTTCAAAGCCACTAACAACTAATAAAAAAATCATGCATCTAAGACTGAATTATCAATCCGTACACATCCAATGGATTTAGTGGAAAGACGTCATAAACAGTCAGCCTATTTATTGTAGAAGAAAAAATGTAGAAACCAAACACCAATTATATAAATCAGTCATACAAATTTATCTTATTATCATATAAATACATTTTGAGTTGACATTAAACCTAAATACTTACTCTCAGGAAAGTCCTTCGACACTACATGAATATCTGACCTCCCAAATTTGCAATTTATATTTAGAATAGCTGCAGTATAACCTACAAAATGGTCTTTAATAACCAATTCAATTGAATAAAATAAACCGTTGTTCCACTTTATAGTGTTTACTGCCGATGAAAGATCAAGACTCTGTAAAGAAATTAAAGTAAACAATACATATTGTGATAACAGTAACGGAAAACTCGATTCACATTATGCGTGTTTTATTTCATCAGATTGCAAAATCTAATTTGAATCCTTTCTCGACAGTACTTTTTATTTTATTAATATTGTCTTGCTCAGTTCAAATAAAAATATTTCATTTCTTTCTAAACCTGGTTGGTTGGTTGGTCGGGGGAGAAGGGATAGGTAGTTTGGTTTTTGCTAAGAAATATATACTCGCTCCCTAGATTGTTTTAAAGTAAATTTCAAAGTCGCATCTGTAACTTCGTATTCATATATATAAAAGGACTCGATAAATCTCTCTAAATTTGCGCCTGCTTCAGGAATATAAAACAAAAAAAAACATCTATTAACGATAACATCAATTAATAGTTGGAGTAATCTCCATGCACCCCTCTGAACATGTCCCCGTCAATGTTTCAAGTAGATATAATTGTACAGTTTAGTGATACAATGTACTAACATCAAATGTTAACGAACAAACAGGAGAGGGAAATACTTTTTCAAATACTATTTCAACATTGAGGTATCCGTCTTTTCGTTCAGTGTTGAGTGTAACCTCTGACTCATTTGGATGATCTAAAAGGAAAGAAAACAGCATTACATTAGTTAAAAGTAAAGAAAGTACAGAATAAATATAACTTTTTCAAACCTACTAAACACGTTTCTATGATCTATACAAAAGTTCGTACACTGTAGGCAAATACAAAATGTACTTGTAAGAGTTTAAGAAACTTGGAGAATATCAAGGCTAGCAAAACTTATTTTCTGTTTCGTAGCGAGTACAAATAAATCCGTCATATTCCTACAATATACCAATATTGTTCTTATATCCTGCAACTTATTATTTACGCTGAAACGTACAGTTTTGTAAAACTACTTAACCGCTGAATCTGTCCATGAACATGTTTAATGAATTATCCATGACTTAAACGCGACCCCAATGTAAACTAATTGTGACGTAAAAGTAATTTGAAAGTCTCCGTTCGGTTGTAACAGAATCAGCATACCATGTGTCTATAGACGTTTACTATAAATAAATTATATACATCGCATCATGTTATCTGAAAACACGATTTTTAAAGAAAGACATTGTAGTATAAAACACCTTTTAGATTTCTTGATATTTCTTGTAATTCGGTAAATCTGTAACCTGATGTGAACAATCTGGTCTCACTAATACATGTATATATGTGACTGCATCTTACATTAATTTGTAGGATCCTTTACAATAGATAATTCAGCTGATCTGTAACAATTTCATCTTCATGCCTTATATATCATGTACTGTGTTACGACGCTAGATAAAAACTGACGAGTAAAGGTAACACCCGGCCACCAAAAGCTTTATTTTATAGAGCCTAGGTGGTCGAGTGGTCTAGCGTGTCGGGCATAGTGCAAGGCGATTTGGTGCCACGATATTTCAGAAGCATGAGTTTGAATCCCGGCCAGGGAAGAACAAAATATTTGCTTCCGCAAATTTATAGATCTAACATTGTTGGGCTGTTGTTTAGACGAATTATACATACAGAATGAATTTTCAGCCTTGTATCACCATCACTGCTGGTGATCCGATGGATAAAATATGTTGTAGAGTAGTCACTGGTTCAGACGTACTTATTATATATATATATTATATATATATATATATATATATGACGGAAATTATTGGCACAATTTAAATGTTGGCGGTGAAGATAAATATATCCAACATGTAATTTACAGCTTGCATTGATGGGAATTAATCATGTGTATTTTGAAATCACATCTTAGCCAACGAATATTTTTTTATGATATGTTGAGCGACAACTTTTCACTATCCTGGTACTGTATGGTTACCAGTGTTGTTTTTTTCTTCTCGTCATTGCTCATAAAAATCATACCACATCTAAGCATTATGTCTACAAACAATATTGGCAGTATGTTGTCGATGATGCATTGCTTCTTATTCATATTTGTACATGTATTGCTTGTTTAAAATTAAAATGCGTTCAACACATTGTAATAGACCTACATTCGAAATTCTGCTCATTCAGATAAATTGGTAATTCATCCGAAATATTCCCAATAGAGCACTTGTACCATTTGTTAACATCAAGCATACTGAAGTTGTGTATTTGAAGAATATATGTAGACGCATTTTTCGGAAAATCGCTGTACTTATTTGGGTCGTTACATTCCCCATTTACACATACTGTTGCACCACTTTCTTTTAATATCCAAGTTCTGGACAAATCGTTGGTAGAATTATGCTCAGTTGCACAGGCAAGTTGAACAGTTTGTCCAAAAATAACTGGCGATGAATTCAAAGATAACTCAACTGAAACAGTTAAGTAGGCGATTACCGTATGTTTAAGAAATAAATTAATAAAATGAAAAACGAATAGGTTTGAAAGACTCAACTTATTGTAAAACATTGTTTAAGTTTTACGGATTTATTAAAATCAAATATAGAATAAAGTTTAATAGAGAAAAAAAAACACTATCATATTCAATAACAAATAACAAATACCTGCATATAATTTTTAATAAATTTGTATTCTATGTTTTTATTGTACAAAATTAACATGACTTGACGTCTAAACAATATTTGATTGGTGTCAAACAAAAAGTGTTTTAAATTAAATTAAAGAAACACATGTTAATTTCAAAGGCAATCTTACCATGGTACCATTTACTGTCGGGAATACTGCTTGCATTAGTACCTAGTATATTACCAAGCCCAAATGGTTCAGCACTAATGAATGCTGCTATAAAGATCGTTCCTTCACAAACCATGTGTTTTAACATTATGTCCTTGAAACCTGCAAAAAAAATATATTCACGAGATTTTGTATTTCTATATTGTATCTTACTCTGTACTTCATTTTACGACGAAGACTCTAATCATGAATTGTATAAAGTCATTTTCAATGAGTTATTTTATTTGGTGCTGTCATTACAAAAGTCCAAAAGTCTGAAAAGACCAATTTTTGTCTGAATTTGCATGAATTTTTACATGACGTTCTCTTTTTGTCTGAAATTTTGTAAAAATTCTTGACAAGGTCTCGACCATCTGTAAAAATACTTGATTTTACTCGACATACGTCTTGACAGTATTAACATTGTCTAAAAATTTCTCGACACTTTCTCGACAGTCTGAAAAGTGTCTTGATTAGTTTCGACCAATTCTCGACTGTCTTAAATTTGTCTCCATAAGCCTTGACATATTCTTGACATTCTTAATGATGTCTGAATATATCTTGACACATTTTTGACGGTCTTAAAGATGTCTTAATATGTCCCGACACTATCTCGACAGTATAAATGTCGTCTGAATTGTGTATCAACACATTCCTGGCAGTTAAAACACTTTCTAATGCGCGCATGCTGTTTTATACTCATTTCTATTACCGCTAAAATAAACTTAGAATAATTAGGATACAATAATACAGTGCTAATTATAAAAAAAAAACATTTTGGTACAACAATTGTTTATTTACCATGTTAATATTGAATATTATGCATGAAAAATGAAATATGTCTTTAGTATGATTTATTTCAATCATTTAGCACATATTTATAATATTTATAAATCAACCTTTTTTTAAATTATTTACAAACCCATATTTAAATTGGTTTATACTATAATACTGTCATTTGTATTTGTTAATATTTTCATACTCATATTTTTATGTATAGAAATATTTACATACCCAAATTTTTAATTATGAAAATATTTAAATGTCCAATTTTTAATTATGAAAATATTTAAATGCCCAATTTTTGTTTTTGTTGTAATAAGTGTAACTTGAAATAACAGTATATTCTATAAAGAGAAATAAAGCAAAATAGCAATCATGTATATTGGTCATAATTTGTAAAGCTCAGAATTGTCAAGTAAATTCAAGACACAATTCAAAATGTTCAAAATATGTCAAGCTATACCGAGAAAAAAAAAGAATGTCGAGAAATTTCAAGACAGTATTCAAATGTCGAAATGAGAATGTCAAGTAATTGTTCATGCAAATCAAGACAAAAATTGGTCTTTTCAGACTTTTTGATTTTTGTAGTGTGTGTATCCATAATAAAAGAATGCTCCGACATCTTCAATTTCAAGTCATACTCGGTTCTTTAATAAATCTTAAAGATGTTGTAATTCCTTTTTTTTTCTCCAAATTACTCACACTTTTGCTTAGTTTAAGAAATCCGTACCATAAAGCTTCTATTTACAAAGAGGAAGGGCCATTTACCCTGATTTTATTTCATTTAATTAAGTAGGTAAATCATGTTTTTAAATAGCCCGATAGATGCTAATTATAGTACATTAAATACGTCACATCATCTGTTTTCATACCTTGAACAGGTACTCATACTACAATAAACAAGGACAAGACTATAGTTTATCAAAACCGATATTGATATTGTTTGTTAACGCCCCTGAGGAGCATTAAAATATGAATTATAAACTAATAGATATTCAAAATTAGTTTTGTATTAAAAAAAAATATGTTGCTTCAGTTAGAGTGTTAATGTTGGTAGGTGATTTTTTTAGCGTACATGTATTTTAACGCTTTTTGCAACTTAACAAAATAATAAAAAAAACGGGGGTTAAATATAAATAGAAAACACATTTGATCTAATTATCTGGTATAAATCAGCTAATCTGATGCAAGATCGGTCTTTGTTTTAATGTCTATACTGGCATCTTCAAATGCAGCAAAATATCTGTTTGTTTTGGTTTTATATTCTGTATGTCCGGTTTTTAACTTGACCAGCAGTATTGTTAATGCTGTTCTTGGGGTTCTATTCGTTGTTCATTGGTCAAAATTCGATTATGACGTCAAATTTTCTTGCTCTCCTCTGAAATTCCCATTGTGACGTCTTGACAAAAGGCGCCGATGCCTGATGACGTCACATAGAAAGAACACATCTTTTTGTAGATCATTCGAAAAGAAGGATTACAATTGCCTGCATATCATCTAAAAATCATTATAGAAACAGATTCCACCATACAATTTCGTGCAATACGATATTTATTCACTCTCGACAGTTAAATTTTAAATATTTAAAACGCTCGGCGAGCCTCGCGTTTTAAATTTGAAAATTAAATGTCTTGAGTGGATAAATATCGTATAACACTTGATGTAGTGGTAGAGTCTATATATTTCTGTCCCGGTTTTTAATATAAGGTTTTATTGTCTATATGAACCGGACAACATCTTACACCAGTTGGTACTAGAACACCTTGTGTTACAAACACATGTTATCAGGCCTTTTTAGGTATTGTAACAAATGGACCCTTTATTGTGATACAGATGCAACACTTTCTTGATGTTTTACCTACAGTCACGATTGGTAGTGTAATTGATTTGTTCTGTGGTATTGTTTTATTTTCTGATGACTTATGTACCGGTGCAGGGACGGTGGTAACAATGTCAGTACTAGTATCTACACAGTTAATGGATCGGCGATAAAATTGCTGTCTGCATTTGTTACATAAAATACCATTTTGAAAAACGTTTTTGTTCAAGGTTTCGAAAAATTGTTTTTGTTGTTTTGAAATTTTCTGCCATGGCCTTTTTTTCCGTTATGTGTATATTACACACACAACATTTGGGCTTCATTGCTATATAATCAATTCTCGTAGTATTGGTTATGTACAAGCACCTACTTCAGTTTGACGGCAATTGTTTCTTGCATATATATAATAAATGTAAACACAGGAATAGGAAGTAAGTCAAGAGTATGGATAGTAATAGGAACGCACACAATAAGCAACACATTATTCTTTTTTCTTTAATGAAATGATTTATAGTAAAAATGATCCATAATGACTCTATGAATTGAACAAACATCCGAAAAAATATGATAGAAACATTACAATTTAATATTTCAACACAAAAAATGCAAAAAATCTGCGTGAGATTTGAACCCTTTCAAAAAACCAATCTATCATTCACTGTGTTCTATGCGCTACCGATGGATCCAAGGCGACTCTTGGATACAAAATTGTTATTAAGCAGCTATATAGGTACAATTTAGTGACGTTCCACTTTTTTTTTATTAAAAAAGTTGTTTTTTAGGTATTAAGGACACACTAAGTCAATTTCATTTTTGAGGAAAAAAGTTGTATAATTTACAACAACAACAAAAAACATAACTTTGTTTTGGTTTGAAATGTCCTTCCCCCTAAAAACACGATAAATTCTGCATATTTGACTTTCATCTTTTTTGGGGGGTTAAATTAACTATTTGTCAGACATATCTTAATATATAAAAATCGAGATATTGATCTAAAAACATTTTCATTTCTTATTTTTATCGTACATTTTATTCTTTCAGCACTTTTTAAAATTGGCCCTTCTGTGTAAAAAAATCAGGGGAAATTGGCCCTATCTCTTAATATTTTTTCAAATATGTCAATCAATTTCCATAATCAAATTGATTAAACGTAATAAAATTTGTAACTTTTTCAAATTCAAGATGTGTTATAAAACATGTTCAATCGGTTTTGAATAATTTTTCAAACATTTTTTCATAGCAAAAGACAAAAGGGTTTAAGCACTAAATCTTCTTAGTATCGACAATGTAACAGAAAAGAAGCACGAACGGTGTTGCATTACTAGGATTATTGTATACAGATTCAAACGGGGAAAGTTTAGAACCAGCATGCACATATTCTCAAATGAACCTTAACTGTACACATTTTATAAAATATCTGTTCAAAACACCTCAACTTATGGAGCATATAGAATTATACAACATGGAACGATAAACAAACTGTTATTACTTTTTACAATTCATGAAATATTTAGCAAGCATATTCATTTCGTGATTAAATTGTGATTAAAACAAAATGATTGTCAATTGTTCAGATGAAAAATTTTGAGTTTAATTAATTATAATAAAATTGATTTTGATAACATTCTATTTAGAAAATATCATACCTTTTCTGTATCCTTAATATGGCATAACTATTAGAATGTTAATTGATCAAATATCAGACTACATGCACTTCCTTATTATTCATAAGGAAGCATCTAATTCAAAGAAGTCCTTTTTGTTGAAATAATATTTAATAATATAAATGAAACACAATTAAGTAAAACAAAAGTCACATGTCACAGTAACAATAATTGTATTGTAACGGTTGAATTGAAGCGTATAAACACATTATTATTAACACTTTGGTACTGATTTTTTTACAAAGTGTTTACTCAAATGCAAAGTGGGACACTTAATTTTACGTATATTTAAAGGGTCATGTTCGTTCATTTTTGACATGATTATGGAGTAAAACAATCTTCTGTGTAACTTGTTATTGTTTCCTGTAGGAATAAGATCCGTTGGTACACATTCGTTTAATGTGTTTGAACTTTTGATTTTTCAATTTGTTAAGGGACTTTCGGTTTTGAATTTTCCTTGGATTTCGGTATTTTTGTTAGTTTACTTTTGTATGTATTGAGGAAACGGTAAAAACTCGGATAGCACGATTCTTTGCAATACTGTATTGTATATGCAAATCTTACGAAAACCAGTATATTTAGTCGTTTTAACGTTCATTCGTGTTCGGTTCTTCACTTTTATACTATACTATAAGATTTTGTTTCAATCGATTACTATAAACACCATAGGGTTACCCTTAGGATTGATACAACATGTAACAAATAATCCAAAATGCATTAATTCAGCGTGCACATTAAAATACTTAGTAGGTCAAACATAGAAAAAATCCCACTTGTATTACAACCGATTGTTTTAAATATGCCATTGAAAGTTGGAATAACTGCTGAACTAGTAATACGAACAATAATATTCGCAACTTAACTGTAAGAAGTAATATTCCTTGCATATACTAATAAAAGTTGAAACTTTTTGCAATTTAATTCTGAAATCAGAGTAGAGTACAACTACATACTACATATCCTCTCAGAAATTATGAAAAAAATGGTGTAAATGTTTGTTGACTTTAGATAAAATGTAAACGATTTATCCATCCAACTATACATAAGGCTATGGTATAAATGAGACATAACTGGGGCGTAGAAAAGAATGATAGCGTTTGATTTTGTCAGTTTTTATGGACTTCCCCTTTTTGAATTGCTTTGGAATTCGGTATTTTTGTTATACTTTTTTATCATATCTATCCTGTCGCTGTGTGTTTCCCCGTGACGATTATCTGAAATTCCTCATTAAGTTAAAGCCATATTTTAAGAATGGCTTTGATTGGTTGTCAGATGCCTTTGTTTTGGATCTTGAAATTATAACCTTTTGGTATTATAACACACATACAAATTAGCAAAATTAGAAGATTAAAAAAAGAAAGAGTTTTGACTATATAAAAAAGAACACGGAAAATACCAAGGGGATATCCATTACTCATCAATTGAAGAGGAACAACAACGTAATGGTAAGAAAACGATATGGTATTTGTATTGAATTATACATAAACAAAGTGAAGATCGCCACATACAAATAATCATCAGAAAATGAAACACAAATGGACGTCCGTTTTTTTGTGTTGGAAATTGATAAATGACCGGTTCTTCCATATATTATGGCACTGGATAAAGGCCATTCTCACAAAAAGAATATTCAATACCTTTTGTTTTCCCTTCAAACCGTCCACCCTCCCGTTTCCCTCATACCAAACACCCCCTACATGGCCTTCTACAGAGTGTATAACCATGTAGTAAGTATGTGCATGATATGAAATTATATTGATTAATAATGTTTATTAGTTGACGACAGTCTAAGGTTGGCACAATTTTGTCCATAGCCTTATTGTGATATTTTCAGCAAGACAAATATGTGTCTTCTTTACTATGTAGAAACAATGAAAAAGCAGAAATACAAACACTATGTCTCAATTCCATCTACCGAAATAATCAATTTAAATCATTAATCGATTTCAGCTTCCAAAATGCGAACTTTCCATTTTCATGCAGCAACAGTTCAACAAGGGCTTACATTTCCTCTCATGATTTCCTTTACAATAGGTTACTACTTAGAAGAAAACTATTACACTAAGAGTTCAAAGTGGTAAAGTTGTCATCCCTTCGAACTTCTTACGCACGCAATCACAAGTTAGTTGGTCGTTATGGAATATCTGTTTTACAGATGACTACGGATATGTTCCAATACTCGTTAACACAATCCCATCCTATTTTACTCGAATGGAATCTACCAACACGACGGTTTGTTCATTTGAAGGACAATCTTCTTACCCTTTCGAAGCACTTGTGATCAACTTCGGTTTTTGTTGGGGTTTGTGTTGCTTAGTCTTTAGTTTTCTATGTTGAGTTTTGTAGACTGTTGTTTTTATTTTGGTCGTTAATCGTTGTTTCTTTTGCCATCGCATTGTCAGTTCATATCGACTCATGAGTTTGACTATCCCTACGGTTTTTTCAATCTCTTTTTTAAAAGAGGAACAAAAAAAAAAGATTGATTGAAAATATAAGTAAGATAACCAAATATAACTGTATGAAAATTATAAGCAAATTTCAAAGGATGTATATGATAACATGCAAGTAATAAATAAGTGGATAATTGGTACTAAAAAATTTTTTTAAATTTGATATTTTGTTTTTAATTTTCGCAAAAAGAGGTGGAGGCAAACTGAGTTTTGTATTTGTGCTACTTTACGTTTTGAATAAATAGTTAGCCGAATAGGAAAACACGACATGAGGGAAGACCGTAATAGTGAATACTTGCAGATGAAAGAGGATAGTTAAGGAGAATGGTCATGAGAATATTGACAACGCTCATCATAGATAAAAAAGGAAATTATAGTGTTATAATAAAGTTTATATATACATTGTTGCCGATAAAAAAAAAAGTATTTTGGAATAAAATTCCATTTTGAAGAACAATACATGTTTATTTATGGGATGTAAGAATTCATTTCCTGACATTGTTAAAACCAATGTATGACCACTAAACTGGCGTCAAAAAATCGACACCATTAGGAAACAATAGAAAATTCAACGGAAATTTCGAAATCGTTGAATTGTAATTTAACTAATGTTTATTGTTCGGTCAGTATTAATGATTAAGTGCCAATGATTCTTTGTATAATACATTTGCAATATATTAATATATAATAAATATTTGTATACTGAAAGCTTGGTTCGTATTTATCGTATTGTATTTTTTTCAAGATATTACTTTTTCAGAATACAGGTAATTTAACTATGTATTTTAATCAAATTGTATTTAAACAAATACGAAATGTGCAAAGTTGGTTATGTGGGGTAGGCATCAACAAGGAAGGAACGATAGGATACAAATAACTTATTATTAATTGTGGAGCATTCTTATGTGACGTGCTTCTTTCGCTTTGTAAACAACAGCGTGATAAAACTTTCGATATATCTATACTTAACGCAGATTCATAGATTGCTGTTACAAATTACCTCCCAGGTAAATCCAAATGTATCGTAATATATGTGCAAACACTTTGTCGATTTCGTTGTGTTAGAATTGAAATTGAAATGAAACTACAGAACCGTTATTTATATGCTAATGCATAACAAAAAGAATAAATGCACAAGAGATTAAAAAATGTATAAAATAAAAATAAAATAAATTCCGCGAAATTTCATGAATGTTCTTGGCAAATTAACGTCATTTCATAACATGACGTCATACGTATGAAAACTCTCAAGCTGAAAGTTTTCTGTTACGTTTACGCCCTGAGTTCTGATAATAACGCGTTAAAATGGAGTTGTGAGGTAATTGTTGTATCATTTTCTATTCTATTGCATTATTCGCAACTTATGGATTTCAACATGACAACATGGTGGCTCACTCATTAGTTACGACATGTCAACTGTGGATTTGACAGAAAATAGTAGCCAACGAAATAAAATGTTTGAGTTAAGATTTATAAGGATTGAACACAATTTTTCTGGTGGTTATTTAAGAAATAATTCATGCTAGACATAGATTTATTTGAAATTTGTAGTTTTTATCTTATCATGCTTACAGTGATTAATTAAAACAGCCATAACCACGGCAATCTTTCCTTCGCTTTAGTTTTTTTTAATACCGTATTTGTCCTATTAGGATCGAAATAATTCATGGAATCCATAGATTTGTTTGACACTTACACATGGCCTGGGCCGTGATATTCGTTAATTCTATCCCTCGATAACGCTCAGAATAAAATTCGAATATCACGGCCCAGGCCATGTGTAAATGTCCAACAAATCTATGGCTCACATGAATTATTTCTAAATTTTGCCTCTTTTCTTTGTTTCGATATGCTTTTAAAGTTAAATGAAAAATACCATATTCTTTTCACGGCAAATCTATATTTTCTGACATATTAGCTTAACGTGTCTCAAAGTTAAAGAGAAACGTCTCTTGCGATGTTTCGAGCAAATCAATGAACATGTAATTTAAAACAGGACATGTGAAACTCACATCTATCATTTTAAATGGTGTCCTGGAAAATACTATACGTTTACTCTTATGTAAAGATCATGTATATTTGGTTTGGTTTTTTTTTTTGGGGTGGGGGGGGAGGGGGGAGTTTTTTTAAATATAAAGCTATTGATTTGTAAAGAGAAGCGAAAAGATTACTGTCCTTCTCGGCATACAAATTTAGGGGGAAACATAATACAAGTATGAGTTTACAAGATATTTGTTTATCTTTTGTGTAAATAAAATAAGTTTGATTTTCATTAAACATGTAAAAGTGCATAAGCATTGTTTATCCCTAGAAAACCCCATGCTACAACACAATTGATAAATATTGGTGCCTTACATTTTGTACTTAGTTGCCGTTGAATAAAAAAAACTACTTTGGAGCATCAGCGATCTTTATTCCGATATCATTAATCACCATGAGCAAAGACACGAAATAGTCTAAGAAGAACACACCATATCAAAACATAGAAATATCAATTATTGAATGATTTTTTCGAAATGTTCACTTTAGGTTTACTATGTACTAGTCTATCAAATTGAAATTGAAATTAAAGAATTATACATCCATCGTTTTCTGTTTAAGGCGAGGGTGGGTTTATAAACAAGTCTTGGAACTTGTATTAATTGTA